ACTTTAGCTAACAGGCCTTGTGAAAGACCTTGAAATCTTACTACTTATACATGAAAAAACATATTTTATTGAGATGCCCTACAGCTGATGAATGGATCAAGAAAATGTGTTGTATATTCACAATGAAGTTTTACTCAGCCATAAGGAATAATATGTGGTTTGAAGGTAAATGAATGCAATTAGAGGACATCATGTTAAGTGAACTAAGCCAGGATCAGAAAGATAAAGGCCACATGTTTTCTCTCATATGTATAAGATAGATCTAAAAGGTAAACACACATACAAAAACAAGCATGATCATACACAAACTCTTATGTTGAACATGTTTTTCATAGTGGAATTACTCTATGGAACTCGGGGAAAGAGGGAAAGGAAAAGAGAATGATAGAGCATCAGTAATGCCATAAAACATGACATCTGAGAAGGTAGAGGATATAAGGATGTGTATTGAAAGCTGTGGAAAAATGGGGGTGGATGGGAGATAAAAGGGGAAGGGAGAGCAATGGAAGGGGTTGAACGAACCAAAGCAAAGTACACCCACAGCAGGGATACACTGAGAAACCCCTTTGAACTTCAACTTAAATATTAATAATAAGAGACTGGACTGTAAAATAGGTACAGTATATGGGTGAGGGGGGAGTAATGGGAGGGGGAGGTGAATAAGGAGATTAAGGTGATGGTATACAGTTGATGAACTTCATATACTTGTATGAAATAGAACAGAGAAACCTCTTGCAAGTGCTTTAAGTGGAGCAGGGAGGGAGTTGAAGGGGAGAGATGATGGGGGTAATCTAACCAAAAGAAGCCTAATCAGAATTGTCAATGAATCCCCCCTGTATAATGAATATACCCTAACAAAAATTTATAATAAAAAGCTTTTTTTTATTAGTTCTCTATCTCTTAAGCATTTCTGGAGTTTCCAAGGTCAGAAAAACCATTTCAGGTTTAATTCTTTGGATCTCCGACATAATATTGGTAGCAAAGTCTAAAGGGATAATTTTGATTTTTTTTTCTTTTCAGCTTCTGAAGCTCAGTTGACAATCACAGAAACCCCTATCGCAGTTCAAGGCAGGAAAACCATCACCTGCTTTTCTGGTTCTGCTCCCTGTAGTTTCAGGGCTCCCTGTGGTTTTAGGGCTCACTGTGGTTTCAGGGCTTTGGTGACTGCACCACATTCAGTAAAAACCACTGTGCTCACACTCCCTTCCACTTTCCACAGCTGGTTACAATGAACCACCTTGGCCTCGGCTGGTGGTCTTCTGGAAGCTGAGTGTGCTGCCTTGGAGGGAAGCTCTTGCCAGTTTTAGATTTAATCCTTCCTGTGGCCATGCACGTTAGAAACAGCAACATGCGGGAAAAGAAACACAAACTGGTCAATTTGGTCAGTATGTGAGTGACAAACACCTGGGCTAATACCTTGTGGACTTGAACCCAAATTAAGTAGCTAGGAAAAGATACTGTGTTTCTTAAGACTCTTAATGTCCCAGAATAAATATTAAAAGGATTAATTTTACCAACCTTCCACTCATTTCCCCAGAGTCCACTACATTCACCCACTCATATCTCCTTCCCAGGTTAATCGGTTTCTAGGAAAGGTTTAGAATAGAACTGAGGTAAAAGAAATCAATCATCATACACATTAGGTTCATTTCTTCTTGGCTTACCCTTTAATTCTTGGGCCAATTTCCTGGGTGGGAGGAATGGCTTTCATTTACATTGCCTTTAGAGGTCCTCCACCCCAGGACTAACTATTGAAACTTTTTTTTTTTTTTGAGACAGTATCTCTATATAGCCCAGACTAGCCTTGAACTCACAATTCTCCTGTCTCCACTTCCCCCGTGCTGGGATTGCTCCACCACGCCCAGCCATACTGCAAAGTTAAGTTTTATAAGGAGACTGTGCTTTACAGAATAGAGACTCACACTGTTGAGTGTTTCTAGAATTTTTGTCAGAATACAGCCTATATGGTTGACTAATATACATTTTGTTTTAAGAGAATCTTGAGAGGCATTTTTTAAAATGGGCTTCCAGGGTTGCAAGATGGCATTCTGGAAATGGGCTTCATATGAGGTTCTTACAGCATGGTCATCATGGAGAAGTGTTCATCAGGTAGTTCACTGTTTTGGTCTCTTCATATCTCTTAAAGTAATGACATGCCTTTGGTTAAACTCTCTTCCAAAACTGCTGCTAACACCATTACAGGTCATCTCCTCTAGGACAAGCTGGAGGAGGACCTTGACAAACTGCTGCTCTTCAACGTCCACTATCTCCTTGAAAGTGTCCACCTGTCCCCAGCAGTCAGATGCCTGTTAACTGACTTAGTTGCAAACTTCTCAAAAGTTTTGTGCCACATATGGAGTTGCTTCTGGGAAATGTGGAATTTCTGGCACTTGTGGCCTGCTGTGCACAGGTCCAGGGTAGCTTTTCATTCTTCCAGGAAAAGTCCTCAGGCACACAGGGGCATATATTAATCATTAGTTGTTTGGGCACCCTGAAAGTGCAAGGTCTAAGGGCAATGGCAATGGTTTGCTTTAGTATGCTGCCAAGCTGGCTTCACTGGCTAAGACCTTACCACACTGTTCACTGTACACTCCTGTAGCCCCAGAAACTGGATACTGACACTTCTCAGAACGATCATAGATTTCTACAAAAGGATAAAAATATATGTATTGACCAGCAGTAGGCTGAGCAAGCATTGTCTGAGGAGGCAAAGTGTGGTACTGTGTATACCTATGGTATAGACACCTTTAAGTTGTATTAAGTAAAAACTACAGATTACACAACCCCATTTTGGGGATTCAATATAATGTCATTTCTATGTCAAAACAGAAAATTTATGCACAAAAAGAGCCTATAAAGTACTAACTGCTGCCTTCTAGGGAAGTGGGGCTATGAGTTAAATTTTTTATTTCCCTTATCTATTTCTGATTTTTCATAAGTATGATTTATTTTTGTAACAACAATGATCAGGTTTTTAAAATAGTAATTCTACAATATTCAAATATAATCTCAAAATTCAAGAACAATCCCAACACGTTCTAAAATCTTTTCTTCACTCACTCCTTGCTTCCTTTCTTCACTCCACCCAGTGTATCAACCTTGCTTATATGCAGGTAACTGGTATGCAATATCAGCACTCTCAAAAGTAGGTGAAAACTAGGAAATAGGTTGGAGGGGGGCTTGAGCAGTTCACAGAGATGTCCCCATATCTATAAACCAAAGTTCACTCTCTTTCCTCACAGACAAGCACACAGATTAGCATTTGGGACTTGTCTATACTTATGCTATACACAATTTAAAGAAGTGTATTAGCAGGTATCTCAGTTCAAGTTCACATTTAGAAGTGGCAATTTTAAAAAATGGGAAAGAGCTATCCATAGGTAGACATACTGAAGATGTCTAGGCTACCACTGTCCTCAGACAGAACAGCTCCAGGTGCTTAGAAGGACGGCTCACATCCTAGCTCTTCACCAAGCCCTGAAGACACTAGAGCAGAGTCACAGAAAATGCCTAGAGGAGTTCAGACCAGGCTGAAATCAACTCAGGGAAGTCAAATACTTGATGTTCAGTCCTTAAGAAGAAATTGACTATAGGCCCAGAATCAAAATCATCCACACTGAAAGTCACCACCTTACAGTACAACTCAGAATCTAGGTGATATCAGCCAGACTAGAGAATAAAGTTATTTTCTTATCTTTTTCTACCTTTTCTACATTTGTGAGAAATGAAGTTCATTTTATATCCGTCTGTATCTTCTGATTCCAGTATTTGATCCTTAATGTCTGATCATATAATGAAGGAATATATGTGTATATACAATAGACACCTCTGTGCCTATATATATGTATATGCATATATAATACGCACATACACTTATATACATATAGATATATATAATATAGGCACAGAGGTGCCTAATATATATACACATATATATAATGCTCCTTTATTTTATACATATATCTCCTTTACAATATTGCCTCTATAATTCTGTATTTTCCTACTGCCTTCACAATATTCCCTAAGTTTAAAAAAAAAGTTTTTTAAAACATTGGAGAACAAAGTTTTGACACACTGTTCTTAGAGGGGTGGTGTTCTTTTATACTGAACAGTTTTTAAACTATCCATAAAAGGGGTCTTTAATAAGCTCAACTTTTAAATATGAATGGAATAAAGTCAAAAGGAGATGAAAGAAATGGCATTCTGAGTGCAATAGGTCAAATGATTTTCAGACTACAGAGTGTCCTGATAGTTTTATGTGATCCAGTCCAGTTCCTTAAAAAAAAAAATCCAGCCAACAGGTAATAGGTCTTCAAAACCTTTTGAAACCAAAGACTCTCCACCAGTTAGCCCATCTCTTACTAAGTTCTTGGCCTCATTAAGAATGAGAAACAGATACCATGGCACCAACTTGTCTATGAGAACACAGGAAGACAAATGTAATTGCCTGCATGAAGAATATAAATCAGCAACTCTCAAATAATTCATATTTACACCTACTCCATTTTGGTTGTCTTCCCTTTATAATTTGGCCATATATCCATGTCAAGTGTATAATTTCATCTGGGGCTTTATCAGTTACCGCCCAGAGCCATGATTATATGGTGCAAGGAAACTTCTTCCCCTTGAGCCAGTCTATCTTTAGTATCTTCTTGATAGCCACTTCTTATATAAGAAATCAAAAGGAAAGTCCTGGTTCTCTTATGTGGCTCCAGAATCCCTAAATATAACATTGAGAAGCAATTTATCAACAGAAGCCATTAAGCTTTCAGCTGCCTGTACTACAGTTTTTCAAAGCCAAGTGTCCTCACTTCTTCTCTTTGTTACTTTTATCAAATTGCAATGGATTTTAGGGGTTTGCATATTCAGGATTCAATCATGTGGCAAGAACTTTGATCTTGAGTGTCTATCACAGCTTCATGGAAACAAGACAGCAACATGATCATGGTTATGACTTCTGAAGAAATATTTTTTAAAAAGAAAATAAAACATAGGTCTAAAATCTAGGATTCAAAGGATAATTTATTATCTGAGAAGAGGAGACACACACTATATCCAGTAATATGTTTCTTTTATTTTTTGTGCCTTTATCTTAAAAATATATTTAAACAAGAAACAAAGATAATATTGAATTTTCCATAAACTTTGCTTTCTTATTTACAGTATTACATTGTAAATAACATTCCATTATACACAAATTAAGGACTGTGCATTACTGTATGTTCTCTTTACATATTCTTTCATTATAGTACATACAGCTTGAAGCTATGCAATATTCAAGCTTAAAAAAGCTGAGGAAAGAAGTACAAACTTTATCGATAAGATTATTATTTAAAAAGGTTCTGACCTTAATTCTCTGCTAGATTGTTTCACTGAAACCATTCTTTGTTAAAGAAAAATGCCCCATATAAGGGATGAGAACAACAGTTTAAGTTACCACAGGATCTACTTAAACTGGTTGACAAATAAAAACACCTTATTACTTATCACTGTTATTAAATGGAGCACTATCACTGTCACACCATTTAAACAAGTACATTTACTCCTTAATCCGGACATGTTACACCAGTGATGGTTGGTACCTCCTTATGAAATAAAAAGTGATTCCTGCAACTTTAGGTTTTACTTGTAAACAGTTTAAAGCACACATTTTGTAAAGATGATTTGATCATTCCCAGTCTTAGGTACACAATGAGGAGATTCTATTTCATCAAGGGAGAAGGAGCACACGCTGCACAAACAAGCACCCACACACTCACACCCACACCCACACACATTGTCCTGCTCACCCACCAAAGGCCCATACGTCACACTAAGTGCCAATTATAGCAGCACTTGAGTCCCAAGCAGTGCACGAAGTTGCAATAGGAACTATAAAACAAGGAAGGTAAAACATCCAACTTCAGTTTAAAAATCCAAAAAGCTCAGGTTCTGAAATGTCTCTCAGACAGTTGGAACTCAGTCTGAAAGGTCAATTCACAGGGCTCTCCAGGCGGCAAACCCCACCTTCGATTGCAACTGACTGTCCTGCCACTGCACCAGGAGGGAGTCTTGAAATGTGAGTCTGCAGAGAAGGAGAAAGAAGAGTGTCAGAGGTGCCACATGTGACAAAAGTGGAGCAAACTCCAGAGCACTGTGTCTTCACTTTGTTTCTGAGCATCTGCAGACCTGGATGATGGTAAATTGCTCAGGGAATATTTACTGAACATCTGCTGTATCCCAACCATGGCAGCAGCCCTGCTAGGGGCTGAGGTGACCAAGTCTGTCAAGACCCCTAACGGTGAAAACCATACAGTTTAGTCATATTCACAACAGGTTTGATTTTGATGCCAGCTGTATTAAGAACATTTCAGCTACCTAAAAACTAATAATTTATAAACTTTTTGTTCACTAAATGCTCAAAACAACAGAGTATTTAACTCATGCTTATATCCCAATTTATTCCTTAAAGTACTTACCTAGCTTATAAAAATTCACATAATTCAATAACCTATAGTAAGTGAAGAAATGATATAAAATAAAAGCAAGAACATACAAAATAAGGTAAATACAGGAGAGAAGTTAACACACAAAATCTAGTCAAGGAGTTCTGTGCTAGAGGCAGACTGCTGCCCTGCCTCTCAGTGTCCTTGTGGTCGCAATGAGGTAGGTGGTTCATGTGGTAGACAGGAGCACAGCCAACCAATTGCTCAGGTGAAAGAAATTATTCTGGGACTGAAGCCAGGAAGCCACTTCTGTGGGTCTTCAGAAAGAGAGTGCTGGGTATTGTGGATGAGTAAAGATATCCACTACACAATAGGGACCTATGTAGGTCTGAGTGTCAACATCACTAAAAGGAGACAAAAAGCTGGAGGCCCAAGTGGAAGATGTTGTAAATGCCATTCCACAGGGGTCAGGAAAATGTCAGCCAGGAATTCCTTGTTCTGGTAATCTGGCTTAACCCAGAGATAGGTAACCGTCAAGAGTCTCTAAGAAGAACAGAGGGGCTACATAACCTTCAACTAATCTCTAATTCTGTTTCTCTAAAAAAAGCTTTTTCTAAGGACTGAATCATGGTGAGTTCAAGTTCACAGAGTAAGGTTAGCCACAGCTAACCTAGGGTAGAACTGACATGCTTTTACACAACCAAAAATGAATGTGTTTATATATATAATTACACATATGCACGTATGTATGTATGTATTGCAGTACTGGGGTTTGAACTCAAGGCCTCATACTTGCTAAGCAGGCACTCTACCACTTGAGCCATTCCACCTGCCCTTTTTTTTTTTATTATTAGTCTTCCTTTTATTAAAACTTTCATCTTTCACGTATTATTTTTTTATTCATATGTCCATACAATATTTGGGTCATTTCTCCCCCTTTCCCCCACCCCATCCCTTACATCCTCACCCCCTCCCTCTCCCTCCATCCCCTGCACTCCCTCTCTACCCAGCAGAAACTATTTTGCCCTTATCTCTAATTTTGTTGAAGAGAAAGTATAAGCAATAATAGGAAGGAACAAGGGTTTTTGCTGGTTGAGATAAGGATAGCTATACAGGGAGTTGACTTGCATTGATTTCCTATACATGTGTGTTACCTTCTAGGTTAATTCTTCTTGATCTAACCTTTTCTCTAGTTCCTGGTCCCCTTCTCCTATTGGGCTCAGTTGCTTTAAAGTATCTGCTTTAGTTTCTCTGCGTTGAGGGCAACAAATGCTATCTAGTTTTTTAGGTGTCTTACCCATCCTCACCCCTCCCTTGTGTACTCTTCCTTTATCATGTGATCAAAAGTCCAATCCCCTTGTTGTGTTTGCCCTTGATCTAATGTCTGCATATGAGGGAGAACATACGATTTTTGGACTTTTGGGCCAGGCTAACCTCACTCAGAATGATGTTCTCCAATTCCATCCATTTATTCCACCTGCCCTTTTTGTGATGGGTATTTTCGAGATAGGGTCTCACCAACTACCTGTCTGAGCTGGCCTTGACCACCAATCCTGAGTAGCTAGGATTACAGGCATAAGCCACCAGCACCCAGTGCAATCATGTATATTAGATTGAATAACAAGCTAGTTGGTTTGTCATTTGAGGGTGGGAGTCTAACTGCACAAGTCCAACAAGAATGGCTGACACAGGTCAACAATTTGGAAAGGTTTGGAAAATAGGAAATATTCTTTGAGAACTTAATTTTTCTGTGTGCAAATCAAGAAGCAACCTGTAATGTCCAGAGAAGAGGTGTGTTGACTTTGGAGTGTGAATTAGGGTGAGGCAGGTTTCTGTGGTCAGGATCCAAATATCCCTGAGTTCCCTCACCAGATTCATGTCTCAGGAAACCATATTCCAGAATCTGTTCTCATTACGACATGTGATAGCTAAACTTGGCCCTTACAACATGGATATATCATATCTGAGAAATCCATAGTAAAACAAACTTATGGCTATTTTGTTTCTTGTGATGCCTTATTAATCTCAGAAGGGGAGTTACAAGAGGAAGTGGTTGTTTCTGCTCTTCAGCAATCCTTGGCATAGAATGCTCAGATTCCACAATTCTCAGAATTCAGTATTGATGAGGTCATTTTTACTCTTTCAGTAATTCATTAACATGAGGTTAGAATTTTTCTCCCCAGGCATAATCTATCAGCATTTTAAAAATATCTTACTAGACAAAAAAGATGCTAAGTAGAAGTCTCTCAGTCAATTTCCCTCCCTTCCTTCCTAGCAAAACTGGGGTTGGAACTCAGGGCTTCAGTGCTTTCGAGACACACACTTTACTGCTTGAGCCATGCCTCCTGCCCTTTTCGCTCTGGTTATTTTGGTTCTCACTACCTCCACCCCCACAGGATAGCCTGGACTATAATCCTATTTTATGCCTCCTATCATAGCTGATGACAGGCACATGCTACCGCACCCAGTTTTTTTGTGTTAACAAGAGATCTCATGAACTTTTTGCCTAGCTGGCCTCAAACCATAATCCTCCTGATATCAGCCTCCCAAGTAGCTACGATTACAAGCATGGCACTCAGCCCCCAATTTTATCCCTACTCTCATTCTCTAGTCATAAACACATGTATGCAGCTATGACAAAGATGAAGCAAAAAAGCAGAACCACTGTGGAATACAGCATGGTGGGCCCTCAAAAACTTCAAGATAGAATTATCATATGATCCAAAATTCCACATACGGGTATATAACCCCCTCAAAAGTGAAAGTAGTGACTAAGACATTTGAACACCAATGTTCACAGCAGCATTATACACAAGAGCCAAAGGGTGAAAGCAACCCAAATGTTTATCAATGAAGAATAGGTAGACAAATTAAAATGTGGGATACGAAGTGATGATTCAGCCTTAAAAAGGCAAGAAATTCTGATATACACTACAACATGAGTGAACCTCAAAAGCACTAAGCTAAGTAAAATGAACCAGAAGCAAAACAAAAGTTCTACAGTTCTACATATATGAGGCACCTAATGGGCAAATTCATAGACACAGAAAGTAGAATGATAGTTTCCAGAGTGGGTGTGGTAGTACATGCCTATTATCCAAGCTTCTTGAAAGGTGGATACAGAAAGATCACTAGTTTGAAGTCAGCCTAAGGAAAGTTAACAAGAAAAAAAAATAAATAAAAACAAAAGGACTTAGGGCATGATTCAAGTGGAAGAGCACTTGCCTTGCAAGTGCAAGGCTCTGGGTTCAATCACCAGTACTAAAAAAAGAAAATGTGTTTTTAAAAAATAACATAGAGATCAGATGTTTTTTATTAGGTTATCATTGTTATTGCTGTGTGTGTGTGTTATCTAGCCTATCACATTCCCAAGAACAGTTCAATTTTTCCACATTTCTCTCATTCTCATTTTAGCACTGTAAAGAATGAGATGTTTTAACAAAAAATTCCAGTTTTCATCATTAATCTTAGAAAGACATGATTAATATCTAGAAAGAATTCCAGCGAGTAAAGATATTAAAAAATTAAAAAAAGAAAATGGTAGTTGCCAGAGGCTGTGGAGACAAGAGAATGGGGATGACAATATGTCCAAGCAGACAGCCTACAAATTGACCAGGGAGTGTTAATCAGACTTCCTAATGACCCAGGAAAAGACCCAGAATGGGAAGGAGGAAACTCCTGTTCCATGGACTAGGAGATGGTAGCAATTCTGAGGTTTACAAAAACACAAATGCCCAATCCAAACTTGCCTCTAACACTCCTACCCCTATCAAGTTTATGATGAAAAATTAGCCAAATAAGTTGAATTAAACCACAAAGTGTCAGGGAAAGTTAGGTTTTAAAAAGGTGGGGGAAGAAATGGGAATAGAAAAGAACACAGTGGCCTGGAGATATTTATTAGTTCTTGAGCAGAATGCTACAAATACACATTAGGATTTGTAAAAGTTGAGCTATTAACATAAAACAGAAATTCTCAACTGAACAAACTAGTTGTTCAATTAACTTCTCATGAGTCTCTCTTCCCTCCCTTAATCGCTATCTAATTCAGGGGGATTTTGTGATGTTGGTGTTGAGGAGAATAAAATGGTTAATTAACCAAATGTCAATCCTTTATCAGTTTCATCCATCAACATGATTTTCTGATTCATCAGAAAATAAGTGACCTTGGTCTGAAAAATAATAGTCAAGATGTACTTGAAGCTTTCTGTGGAGATTTCAATAAGCCATCAAATCATATAAACAGTGGAAGTTCTCTTCAAATGTATCATGTGTGTTTATGTCCAAAAATTTTTTGTTTTATTAAGAGCAGTGAGTTTGAGTTTCTCTTGAGCCTAAAAGTACACCTCTTTTGTTACAATGAACTTGGAAGTCAACATTCAAAATCATGCAAAATTATACAAAGCCGGTATTTTGGTGCATGCCTGTAATCACAGCACTCTGGTAGCCAAGGCAGTAGGATTGTGAATTCAAGGCCAGCTTGGGCTACAAAGCAGAGCAAGACCCTGCCTCAAAACAAAAACAAACAAACAAATAAAAAACAAATTAGCATTTGCAAGGCCCTGGGTTTGATCCATAGCACCATAATCAATCAATCAATCAATCAATCAGTAAAACTGCAATAGCATGTCTTATATTAAGT